TTAGATTACGACGACACTGAAAATCTCGTAAAGGTTTGAAATATATTTGAATATATATAAATAAACTCACATCCATACCATCCAACATATACATTTACACAGATACATATACTTACAGATTTATATAATAACACATCAAATCGAATTATGCTCACTACAAATCATAAACATTAAATTACATTATAGCATTCGTTCGTTCGTCTTAAGTTTTTTTTTTATTGTAATATTTTTACATACAGGTAACCTAATTAGTGAATATTGGCTAAGAAATTTGTATTTAATTTAACTTGTTTATCTTCCTAAAAGTTATGTTGTAAACGTAATCATGCATGCCTTTGCTTTGCTTTTTATTATTTTTTATTATATAAATTTATTGTATTTGCTACTGGAACGCTATCGCCTCTGTCTTAACGAGGTGGGCGTTGACGGCCACGACACAGTATTACTTACTAATGTGGCTGTTATCGTTACACTACCCTACATTGTAAAATATTATATATTTTTTTCGTTCCAATAAAAGAATTATTATTATTATTATAATTTTTATTTGTATCTTAGTACACACATATAGGTTTAATTATAAATAATAAAACAGATTATGTGAACCAATGCAATAAAACAGTCTAATATTATGACCACCAAGTAGCACAGATTTATTAGGGTCATTCATTCATTTCATTTAATTTATTCATAACAATTTACATTGTGTTGAATTTTATTGCATATCATAATTTTAATTAATTAATTATATGTATAATTACATGTCTAATAAGGAAAAATGACAATAAAACAATAAATTTACTAGTCATGTGCAAAGCTAGTGAATTATAAAATAAGTGTAATAAACACTTATTTTATAATTTAACACTAATCACTAGCTTTTGCTCGCGACTTCGCTGGCGTTAATTTATCCCCTTAGGGGTGGAATTTATCAAAATCCTTTCTTAGGGGATGCCTACGTCACAGTAGCTTTACGCATGCAAAATCTCAGCCCGATCAATTTAAAATTGATAAAGTTTCATACAAACTTTCATCCCCTATTTTATCCCCTTGGGGATAGATTTAATCGAAATCCTTTCTTAGCGGATGCCTACGTCATAACATCTACCTGCATACCAAATTTCAGCCCGATCCGTCCAGTGGTTTGGGCTGTGCGTTGTGCACTATGTCAGTCACCTTTTAGTTATATATATAGATTCTCGTGTCACAATGTTAGTTACCATACTTCTCCCAAACGGCTTGATCGATTTTTATTAAATTTTATATGCATATTTAGTAGCTCTGAGAATCGACTACTATCTATTTTTCATACTTCTAAGTGGTAAGGGATATATATCGACCCCTAAATATATTTTTTAAATTTTTTCGACATATTTTATTTTCATTTTATTATTATTTAGGATTAGATTGGATCTTTTTTAGAGGCCTATGTCCAGCAGTGGACGTATTCCGGGCTGCGATGATGACGATGATGGTGATGATTATTTAGGATTGAAAAATTCATACAACCCTAAATTTTCAGCCATCTACGATCAACCATTCTTTTTTAATAGCGATTTTAATTTATATGACAAAACAACGTTGGCAGTGCAGCTAGTAATATATCTATGTATCACACATTACATGACATAGATTCCATACTGTAATATCATGTCTAAAGGCCATAGTTTACTGGCTCACCTGTCATAATAACAATATTGTATAGTGCTACCCTTATAATAAATTTATATATTTAACTAGCTGATCCAGCGACTTCGTCTACGTGGAATTTAACTTTATGTTTCTAAAATAATAGTAGCCTAAGTTACTCCTTACATCAGCTACCTGACAAAAGAAGTCCCGTCAAGGTCCAGCTTTTTTAGAGATTAGCCGGAACGAACAGACAAAAAATTTAATAAATGTTATTTTGGTGTATGTACTATATTTATATTCATATGCATGTAGTAAAAAACGTTTATTTCAATATATATATAACTTGTTAAAATATCATCCTAATTGATTAGACTCTCATTTCAATAGAATAGAATAGAATAGAAAATCTTTTATTCAAATAAACTTACATTTAAGCAATTTTGAATAGTCATCACATTTTTTTAATCTACCGCTCATTCGGAAAGCTGTCTCATCACAAGAAGAACGAAGAAACTTGCGTGTTGCTCTTTTAAATAATTTTATTCTTACTTTACCAATTAGCACTAATTCAATTAAATAGTCAAATCAAATACTCAATGGAGTTCAGGGTCTCAATCAGTTCACCGGAGGTCGCTCCAGTTTGTCACGAGCGACGAAATAATACAATTAAGCAGATTGTATGTGGCGTGAATATTACTATGATAGTACAGGTGGTGCTATGGCACGTGGAGGCACCAAACGATGCGTATAATTGAGGATAACTTTATAACTTAACAACTTAACTTAGAAATATGAAAGCGTAGCGGTTTTTAAATTGATTGCCGCATGCATTTTTATGTAAAATGTGAATACTATAACTATCAGATGGCAATTGTAAGTAGCTTTGACGTGGTCTGGTGTTTTGAGTAGTCATGCTCACTAAAATGTCCAGACTTGTGGCGGCGTAGTGGGCCGGGTCATTGGGCTCCCTAAAATATGGTCGAGCGCAGAGGTGGCTGGCTCATCCGTCATAGTCGTGAACGGGTGCTGCTTGTAGGGACTGGTCTGCTCTAATCATTATGACTGATTTCCTCTTATTAATTGTTTAACCAGTTGGTTATATATTCAATGTTTTTCTATTTGAGTATTTAATTGAATTAGTGCTAATTGGTGGTTTGTATTTACACACTAAAACTTAAAATGTAAAGTAATAATAAAATTATTTAAAAGAGCAACACGCAAGTTTCTTGCTCGTTCTTCTAGTGATGAGACAGCATTCCGAACGAGCGGTAGATTAAAATAATGTAATGACTATTCAAAAGTGCTTCAATGTATGTTTATTTGAATAAATTATTTCTATTCTATTCTATTCTAAAAAAAACTTTTTAATAAAATATACTACTATATAGTAGAAAACAAAGTCGCTGTCGCTGTCCGTCCCTATGTATGTTTAAATCTCTAAAACTACGCAACGGATTTTGAAGCGGTTTTTTTTAATAGATAGAGTGATTAAAAAGGAAGGTTAAATATATAATACAGGTACACTATAACATGCGGACGAAGTCGCGGGCACAGCTACTAGCTGTTCATATTTTTCAAAAGATATCCACAAACTTTCGTAAATGTGGTCAACGTACACGCCAATGTCAGTGTTTTATGCCAAGTGCGAGTCGACAATCGGCCAAGGGCATCGACAATTACAGTGACCTATACACAGATGGTATCACACCGAACTGGCCGCCGATGTAACGTTACCCACTGCCTATTAAATCCTACACACTATTTTTAGTTCTGGAATCATTTTTAATTGGTTTAACTGATTTGGCTACTCACCTATTGGCCATTTCTAAATTAAACTAAGTATGTAATGCATGGAATTTTGTGTTTGTATGATTTTTAAAACAATAATAGAATTATGTAATTGCTGGAGGAATATTGCAATATTTAATTTGTTTTAATTGAAATAAATAAAATATTTAGAATATATTGTACACAGATTTTAATAATGACGCCACGGAATGTTCGAGAAGAAGTGCAAAATTGTATATAAAATTACATCGATGATAAATTTCAAATTTGGAACGTAAGGCACAGAATGCCTGACGTTTCAAATTTGAAATTTAAAAAAATTATTCTTAAATATATTAAAGGGCTATTTGCGATCGCAAACAGCAATCGGTGGTCCAGCGGTTTAGTCCACTTTACTTCCGATGGTCGCGGGTTCGATTCCTCGCACGGCGCAAACATTTGTACTCATGATTATCATCATTACATAGTACAAAATAAAGTCGCTGTCGCTGCCTGTCCGTTCCTATGTTTGCTTAAATCTTTAAAACTACGCAACGGATTTTGAAGCGGTTCTTTTTTTATAAAAAAATCTACTTTTACCGTACATCAATCATTAGTGTTTTTTTTTACTGGGATGTAATTATCGGTATTCGCTGGCCCGGTACCCCACCTTTAAAGGATGATGTCATGATAAGCAGGAAGTAAGGATAAACAGCTCATTGTAGTAATTCCATTCAGATTTACCCACTATGGTTTCCAGATGGCACCGCGTGGAGGTCAACCTGACATAATTTTACTCACTGGTCCTCATTACTGACAATCTAATTCAAAATATTCAAATTCAAATTCAAATTGATAATCATTTATTCATGTAGGACATTTTAGCCGCTTATGAACGTCAAATTTTTACATCATAATTTTTTTTTCCCTACCGTCCAGTTCAATATATAGATCTAATTGAGAAGAACTGGCAAGAAACTCAATTGAATTACTTTTTTTTAAAAGCCAGTTTATTTACAATGTGTATTTATATAGGTGTCTATGTCTAACATTAAATGAAAATCCAGTGCATGAACAACTATTGCCATGCACGCTCGTCATTCAAGTAATCGTTTAGTGAGTAATAGGCTTTGCTCAGTAAATATGATTTAACAGATATTTTGAATTTATATAAGGGTTATTCCAATATATCCTTTGGTATCTTATTGTAAATTTTTATACATTTATTCATGTAGGTTTATTACAGTCTCTTATGATATGTCAAATCTACCGTCAGTTCGGAATGATTTCGAGATGAGAAGAATTGATAAGAAACTCAGCTCGTATTCTTTTCAAATAAATGTTGTACATGTATACAATAATACAGATTCATTTTTAAGTTCTAATTTGGGAGAATAGAGTGACCACCAGCATATACTATTGCCGAAGCAAATAGTCTAATCAGTGTTCCTGTAACCCGAACAGACTAGTACCAAGCACAACCCGTTCCCGAGTATGACGGACGAGCCAGCCATCATTGCACTCAACCATATTAAAGGGCTCACATTGACTAAGTTTTGAATATTATCTGATTATAACTTTCATTTTGTCTAATTTTGCAGACTCCAGCAGGGCCAGGCGGCGCGGCGTGTCCTTCACGGATGCACAGGCGACGTCGGTGTATAAAACACTGCTAGAGCACTATTTAAAGCTGACAAATTAGTTTGTAAGCATGTTTTGTCTTTGTCTTACTGACTAGCATGCGCCTTGTATGATAGAGAGGTAAATATAATAGAAAATAATCGATTAATGAGAAATAAATTTCAAATAAATAATTAATAAAATAATACTTGAACGATATAAACTTCCCCCCTCCGATCCGATCCGATTTCCCCCCTGTTCAATTCAAACGGGGATCGAAATTACGACGGCTTGAGCTGAGGTTTGAACTCCTAGAGGTGGCCTCAGACTAAAGTCGTATCCGTCAGGAGGGAGTTGGCCTTCAGCCGCTCCATAACTTCCGCGGGTTTGGAGTGCCATCTGCACTCGCCCCCTATCGTCCGGCGAAGCTGTAAAGGCCAGCTGGAGCCAACAGCGTTAGAGTAGTCCGAAAAAAAACTTCAATATTTTTTTTTGTGATTTGTTTATTATATCCTTGTTAGAGTTAAAATTCACATAAAATGTCTACTTATCATAATATGATATTTGCAATATAATAGAATAATTGAATATGTGTTAGTACGATACATTACTTACGTACGCATTTATTTTTACATTTATGTTTTAAGTTAAAAAAAAAACTATTCTCGCTAAATGAATGTTTGAGATAATTTTTACTATTGTCCTAATTCAATTTATTTATCTGTAATTAATTATATTCTATGTCAATTGCCAAAGATAAATAAATATATATATAAATAATTTTATTATAGTCATAAATAAATATACTTAGTAAAATTTTATATACATTTTCTAAATATATTTATTTATGACTAAAATAAAAACAATTTTATATATATATTATTTATCTTTGGCAATTGACATAGAATATAATTAGTTATAGATTTTTTTTAATTGTTCTTATAGATTTAGTTAAAATATTTAATAAGCAAGGAAAAGTAGATTAGAATAGAAAATCATTTATTCAAATAAACTTAATTTAAGAACTTTTGAATAATCTTAACAATTTTGTTTTATCTACCGCTCGTTCGGTATGCTTTCTCATCACAAGAAGAACGAGAAAGAAACTTGTGTGCTGCTCTTTTAAATAATCCTTGTAAGTTCACATTTACAAGTTGAAACGTGTGAATACAAACTACCAACCAGCACTAATTATTTTGGGTCAAATATAAATATACAATAAGATTAAATCAGTCGTAGTGATAAGAGCAGACCAGTCCCTACAAGCAGCACTCAAGTTTATTCTACATATTTTTTATGTAATTAAAATAAAATCAAATATACTTTATTCAATTTGAGTAATACAGTTTATTACTAAGTTCTATAGAGTTATCGGAAGCTCCTTTTTTGTATAAAAATGTCTGTGTCTTGTGACTTCTCATTGAACTGGCATTCGTTATATGTGAACAGCTCCTCGGACCCCGCATCATCATATGATACCCATTGATCATGTGTTGCCATTCATGAAGAACAAGTTGCCTTATCTCTTTACCCATTGATTAACCGATTCCAAAAAAGTAGAAGGTTCTCAATTCAGCTTTGTTTTTTTAAATGTTTTATTGCTTCATAACTCCGTCGTTTATAAACTGATTTGAAAAATTCTTTTTTTCTATGATGGAGAGTAATTTCAGATCGGTTCTGTTCATTTTTTAATTATTTTTTTGTCTTGTCTCTTTAATTTTGATTAACTGACTCTAAATGAGGGAGGTTCTAAATTCAGCCGTGTTTTTTTTAATGTATGTTACTTCATAACTTCGTCATTTATAAAGCAATTTGAAAAAATCTTTTTTAGTTTGAAACAGAATAATTCGGTACTGTTTTTTTTCAATTTTTTTTTGCTCGTCTCTTTACCCTTTGATTAACCGACTCCAAAAAAGGAGGAGGTTCTGAAATAAGCTGTGTTTTTTTAATGTTTGTTACTTCATAACTCCATCATTTATAAACCGATTTGAAAAAAATCTTTTATTGTTTGAAAGAGAATACTTTCATATTTGGTACCATTTATGTTTTTAAACTTTTATTTTTATTTTATTTTACTACACTACAGTTATTGCCGAATTACGTTTAATTTAATATATTTGGTAAGCTTTGTATTTTGAATAAAACTTTAATACAATAAGAACGTTGTTTGTTTTATAAACTCCACTTGTGCAGCCTTGAATTAGATCACGAATTTAAATAACTTATACCGACTAATGATACAAAAAAAAATATAGAGCAAGAGCCCACGACGCGACGGCCAGACCTTCATATTATTAGTAAATGTAAAAGTTCTAATCTAAAAAAAATCGTTCAATAAATTGAGTTTCATAAATTAACGAATTTGATATGAAAATTACACACATACAAGTGTGTCCCCAACACAGGTAAGAACGATCCCCAAACATGAAACCTGGATCGTGGTTCCTTTGGCAGGTAACAGGTAACAAAGGTGTAATTTTCATATCAAATTCGTTAATTTATGAAACTCAATTCTTTCATATATTGTTCGTAACAGTGTTATAACTTGCGCTGCTCATTGCCAGATACTTAGAATTCCAACACCCCGCCGTACACCCCTAAATTAAACTTTGACATCTATACATATAAATAAAATTGGAGTGCCTGTTTGTAATATTGAAATAACCATTTTTTACATACATGCATTTATTACATACATATGAATATAAATATGGTACACACATCAAAAAAACATTTTTTTTTATTTTACACTTTTTGTCTCTCTGTTTGTCTGTTTGTTCCGCCTAATCTCTGAAACGGCTGGCCCGATTTTGACGGGACTTTTTTTTGCAGGTAGCTGATGTAATAAGAAGTAACTTAGGCTACTTTTATCTTAGAAAAATAAAGTTAGATTCCACGCGGACGGAGTCGCGAGTACAGCTAGTTTACTAATAAGATGAATGTCTGGTCGTCATGGGCTCGTGGACTATAATACTGCCTACGTCGAGGCTGTGGTGAGATCACTATATATCCGATCATAAAGCTATATTGCCACTAGTATGGAAAACTACACATAATACCATGTTAAATGTACGTGACATGCGTACAGACATATTAGTCAGTCTTTTATATATTTACTTTTTTGGATTTTTGTTGCCGGAAGTAGTGGCTCGCTAATGCAGTTTCTTGATGTGAAGCCAAATCTCGAGGCCCTTGCGTTGATATATCCAGTGACGTTTAGTTTTGCGGTCATTTGGAGGACAAGGCTAAAATAGCCTCAAAAAAGCTTGGTGTGCTCAGTAGAGTGAGACGGTATTTCACGGCGGCCCATCGCTTGCAATTATACAAGGCGCAGATCCGGCCGCACATGGAATACTGTTCTCATCTCTTGGCGGGAGCACCACAATACCAGCTACTTCCATTTGACTGCTATTAGAACCGAGCAGCCAGAATCATTGGTAATCAACGTCTATGTGACAGACTCGACCCATTGGCTTTGCGGCGAGATATTGCAACTCTGTGCATTTTCTGCCGCATATATCACGGGGAGTGTTCTGAGGAATTGTTCGGATTAATACCAGCTGCTGAGTTTCACCACCGTACCACCCGCCAGAAACTGAAATACCATCCTGATCATCTGGATGAATGGCGGTCTTCCACAGTGCGGTTTTCTAGAAACTTTTTGCCTCGCACAACCACATTGTGGAATCGCCTCCCAGCAAAGGTATTTCCGAACCGATACGATATTGAAACCTTCAAGAAAAGAGCTTATTCCTTTTTAAAAGGCCGACAATGTACTTGCAATTCCCCTGGTGTTGCGGGTGCTCATGGGCGGCGGTGATCACTTACCATCAGGTGATCCGCATGCTCGTTTGTCCTCTGTGTTATAAAAAAATACCATGGCAGATCAGTTGGGATCATCGGTATTCTTGGTATATGAGCTAGTTACCCGACTGTCATGGCCCGTGGCAGTGGTAATGGTCGCTATAATTAAATTGTCGTTTAATTATCAATCAGCATCGTCCTTAGTGAGCAGTCTCTGATGCGTTTACATTTTTCAAATAATGTTGATATGAATAAAAGAAGAGTATGTTTAGATATGACGACTGATAGAGAGCAGTGGAAGAGAATGACATACTGCGCCGACCCCAAATAATGGGATAAAGGCAAGGCAATGATGATGATCGTTGGATCATCTTTTGAGAAATTCCGATTTTCGACGTCAAATCGTATGGTAGCAGCCCAGAAAGGTTTAGTCAAAATTCCTGTCGATAATGAACTGCGTTTTCGATATTAGTCACCCAGTCGATTGATTTGTAATTTGATATTCTGAGAAAAAATCAAATATTTTACAAATATACAGTCAAATTCCACGCGGACGAAGTCACGGATACATCTAGTCTATACATCTATACATATAAATAACATTGGAGTGTCTGTTTGTAATATTGAAATAACCGTTTTTTACTACATGCATATGAATATAAATACCGTACATATACCAAAACAACACTTTTTAAAATTTTGTCTGTCTGTCTGTCGGTCTGTTTGTTCCGGCTAATCTATGAAATGGCTGGACCGATTTTAACGGGACTTTTTTTGGCAGGTAGCTGATGTAATAGGGAATAACTTAGGCTACTTTTATTTTAGAAAAATAAAGTTATATTCCACGCGGACGAAGTCGCGGGAACAGCTAGTATTAAATAAAAACAATCATAACGTAGTGCTATGTGGGATCCTAATCATATTCACCTACCTACATATTAAATGTCAGGTTGTTTATTGTGGACAGCAGCGCGGTCCCATCCGTGGGACTGCGAGCACGTGGCACCACTTAACTAGAAATTACATGCATCAAATTAATAGTGAATCTACCTAGTAATTACTTGTTACTACATGCCCTTGCTTGTCCGACGTGAAGAAAGAACGAGAATTTACCGTTTTTAACGTAAATATTATTATCATTATAAATGCGAAAGTAACTGTGTCTGTCTGTCTCGCTTACACGCCAGAACTACTGAACCGATATAAATGAAATTTGGTACACAGATCAAGATCCTGTGAAGCGACATAGGCTACTTTTTTATTCGCCCCGTTTTCGGACGGGTGTACATGTATTATACATATAAACCTTCCTCTTGAAACACTCTATCTATTAAAAAAAACCGCTTGAAAATCCGTTGCGTAGTTTTTTTTTTTTTTATTTATTAGAAACCAACAGCGTTACAATTTCATTTACATTAACTTACATATGTTGTAAAATTAAAGCTACTATAGGTTTCACTTAATTAACACAAAGTATGTAGTATTGGCTTGCGCTAAAACAAAATAACAAAATAGGAAATCAAAGAAATAAACTGAACACATAAAAAAAAATGAATTAAATAAATGATTGAATGAATGAGTGTGGAAGCTATACATCTCCATATAATATATACTACACACTGATGCCGGTTTTAAAGATTTAAGCATACTTAGGGACCGACAGACAGCGACAGCGACTTTGTTTTATACTATGTAATAATGATATTTATTTATTTATGATTATTGAATATTTTTTCTTTATTTCCCCAAGGTATACGCAGACGAAATGGCGAGCACTAGTATTCAATATAGCCACGAGGCCCGGCTTCGCACTGTACTTTTTTTTCCAACACATTTGTTGGTAAAGTGTATCTAATTGATCAGTTTTCAATACATAAAGCAATTCACAAAACAGGCGTGCGTTATAAACGCAAATAGTGAAGTTATATTCCATAACAGAATTATTTGATAT